GTGCGTCACCTTCCACATCAGCGGCAGGTTCTTCCCCTTGTCCCCCCGCTCCTACGTGATGGAGGTGAGCATCCCACCAGGGAGGGGGGGCTTCTTCTGGGGGTGGGGGGGGCTTCTGACCATCACCCCCACCACCCCTTCCTTGGCTGCAGAGCGACGGGTACTGCGCCCTGGGCTTCCAAGGCATGGACGTCCCCACCGAGTCGGGCGAGCTCTGGATCCTGGGGGATGTTTTCATCCGGGAGTACTATGTCATCTTCAACAGGGCCACCAACATGGTGGGGCTGTCCCGCCTGCCCTGAGCTTGTCCCCCTGCTGGGGACAGGGACAGGCAGCGTGTCCCTCTGCCCTGGTGGCCCCAAGCTGGGGGGCTGGCAGGGCTGGCCTTCGCCCAGCGCTCCCGTCCCCTCCTGCCACGGCCACCACGGAGCACAATAAAGCTGTGGAGAAGCCCCCTCTGTGCCAGGAATCTTTGGGAAGGGCTGGTTAGGCCACCCTGGTGCTGTCACTGTGTCCCCGGGCAGGGACATGGGAGTGCTTGGCCATGTCTCCATGTCACCCTGTGCCAAAGCAGGTGTCCCAGGGACACCCCTTTCTGTCCCCAGGACACCAGCAGGGCACACTGTGGGGTGGCAGTGGCCAGGTGGGCTGGGGAAGGTGTGGGGACCACAGGGAACCAGGATGGCCCCTCTGACCCTGTCCTTGTCACCCTGGAGGGGGCTGCACACCCCAACCCCCAGGGAATGCCCCCCAGAGGGTGCAAGCAGGAGCAGGGGGACGGGGAGTAAATACCAGGGTGACTTTATTGGTGGCAGGGAGGGCAACTCGCCCCCTCCCCCCCCCAGGCGTAGGTGCTGGGGTTGGGGGGGAGGTGGGTGGCACAGGGCACCCCAGGGTGGTCTCCCAGCCCCACATCCTGCACCTTGAGAGGTGGGGAGGGGTGAGGGGGGAGGGGGTCCTGCCCCACAGTCCTGCTGCAGTGGGGCGTGAGGGGCTGGGGGGACCCTGGCACCCCAGGGCAGAGGGGAACACAACGTGGCCTCTGCCCCAGAGAGGGGTGGTGTCCATGCACCCACGGGAGCAGGGAAACACCCGTGGCAGTGGGGATGACCCCGTGGGACTGGGGATGCACCCACAGGAGTGGGGAAGCACCCAGG